AAATTTAAAGTTATTTAAAAATGTAAAGCAAACGACAGAACGTCTAATAAAAAGGAGCTAAGTCGAACGCTAAAATTGTCAGACGACCTGTGTCAAACCCAGCTCAAATACGTGTCTATGGGAAGTACATACTATAGTAAAAGTACCAACCATCTATTCAATAGTAAGATCACATATATCATGTCTGAAAACGCATCGTTTTTAGCGTATTGAACTTGCTAGGCATAAATTCATAACGAAATTAGGCTGTAACGCGGAACTGATAAAGGCCAAAGGTGGCCTGTTATGGGATGCAATCGATTTTGTTTGCATAGGAGAATATTAATGTTATCATAGATTCACATCGATCGAGCCTGGAAACCTCTTTAGCAAAAGTTCAGTCGACTGTAGAAAATGGAGGTAGTTGCTATGATCTTCCCCACACAGGCTAAAAAAAGGTACAATAACTAACGAAGAATGCCAGCAAGCTATAAGGCTTAATCTAAATTGTAATTCTCACGTATATTAAAATAACGAACGAAATCAAATGTATAAAAATCGGACAAATCTAGCAAAGTTGCAATTTATAATCGCGGTCCCTTCCTTTTAAACGCGCGCCTTTTCCAAGATGACCCGTTTTAAATTACTGTCCCGCCAACTTACCTAAGTAAGCGTTTTCGCCCATACGATCAGGATCGTCTGCACAGGTAGCCTCTATAATGCCATAACTAGGTATCTCCAAAAAGGTATCGCTGGTGTAACCCCCTTAAATGCATCAAATTTACGTCCATCCCATTGTATTTGTATGTTTGTATATATATGTGCCAACAAAGTATGGCAATAGTATAGATATGCATAGATCAATTAATCGGGAAACACCTGCATAAACTCGTTTGACAATATTTATTGACACAGCGTAAGTTTTTACTGCAATCTCGACCGCATTGTTCTTCAGTGATTTGGTACTGATACCGATGGGTCGCCGATTATCCAACATCTACAAATATTAAACGATACGGATTATCGCGAACAATAATGCTAATGGAAACCCATTTCGTCAGAGTTATAAAAACAAAAAAAAGTGACACGCAGAAGATCAGAGAAGGAAGCACGGTACGATCGAATGTGCCAAAAATTTACTGCCAACTCACAGAATATCTGACTAGTATACCAACGTACGCGAAAATCTGCGAGATCAACAATAGAAATGATTGCTAAACAATTGTTTCAGGTGATACTGTTAGTGGCGGAATCAGATAGACACTAAGGCTGGTACGTCGGCCTAATACTATCATCCTTGAGTCCAATTTGGTACGATACCAACGAGAGCTTTTTCATTAGCCTAATCTATCTTCTAGTGGCGGAGTTGGGCACTCTGTGGATGACACCTGGTCTAGTCTGGGCCATCGACGACGTCCTGAACCGAAACTGCTTACTCCAAAAACGTAGTACTTTTTCTTGTCTAATCTCGGTGGGAAGACTGCAACGAAACCTGTACTTTACAAATTAATATCATCGTGCGCGCCAGGCTTACTAGGGACATTTATGTAGATTGGATTGCAGCAATGAAGTTTCAGTAAAGAAAGGCTGATCTGTGTGCCAAGTCATGGTAAATAAACCAAAGAAATCCTAGCGCTTTTAATTACCATATCACTGTGATTGGTGATAGTTGAGAACCGGCTTGATGAGTAAGTGCCAGATTAATTTCTAAGGATAAGTTAAAATTTTAAATAAAGATTTCGTTTTCGACATATAGTCGCTAATTATTGTTAACTAACCAAGGTTAAATAATCTATATGAACAATAATTGCTCAGTCCGCATATTGTGGTTGATCTTAGCTATGCAAGCTTTTGCATGAGCGATAATTTTTAGTAGTTCTTGCTATCGTACTTAAGTATATGTGTATGTTGAACCAAGTTCGACATACACGTTAGCTTTCGAAGGATGAAACGTGATTGCCTAACACCTAGAGACGACAATCCGAACATGCTGTAGAAAAAATTAGAATCGATAGCGTTCAAGGTACTCTTCGTATGTATCTATCAATACGATATCGATTTTTTGCGCGTGAAATTTGCGTTATCTATCTATTCATAGAAATCGTCTCCTAACTCGAGATCGATAAAGCAAATTACTAGCGGTAGCTGGCGCCGGCAATTTGGCCGAAGATCGAAAGCGACACCATCCACACCGACATAGAAAAAAAATTATCCGTGTCCAAATTTGACCATTTTTTTCTTGTAAATAAAGCCGCGGAAACTGAGTTAAATATTTGAAAGTTCGACAACGCTAGAAGAACTATGACTGTTATGAAAGCTAGGATACCGACCTGTTTCTAATAGACTTACGTAGATGTTAACGCAGTATTTGGATACATACGTAATAATCGGAAGCATTGCAGTCACTTTCGAAATTGTTCCACGTAAACCATGCTAATTTTTTAATTACATTTTCTTTCTTCTGTGACGCCGCGCCTCTTAGGGGGCGTTCGCGTTGTTTCACAACTCTGGCCCTTAGCGGTACAACAGGCTGGTTTAACGGATTTAGGATACAGAAAATGTCAGTGTAAACAGATAGCAATTTTTATTAGAGGCTTTAGATTGGTGCCGCATTACTTGGAACGTATAATTTTCACACGATCAGATTTGTAGCGGCATAAATCCCAATTTATTGTAGCGAAAAATTAGGCGATTAGAATTTATTAATTGCGATTAGATAGTGTATGATAGGTGACGTAAAACCTCTATGGAATAACTCTCACGATAGATTTTACTTCTTTGATTTTAGGCCAATCCTGGAGACTTGCAAAGCCTCACAACGTTCAGCTATGGAGCTCGTTTGGAAGGTGAGAGACATGTAAAATTCGTCTCGAGGCCACTCTAAATAAATAGCGCTCTTTTGGCGAGCTAGAACGTATACCAGTGATTTGGTCTTTCGGTTTAACACGCACCCATTAATTATTGAACAAACGCGGTGTCTTCCACTAAGATTAGCCCTGCTGGTACGAAGCCTACCCAGGAGTTTAATATGAAAATGAAAAAACTGAAATTTCATATACCACGTAGAAAAATACCAGTCAGAAATAGCGTTGATTAGGCATTCTTAATACAAACAAGTCATCTAGTACATAATTTGAATCTGATAACAGCACTTGAGAAAATAAAACATCAGCGTCTCGTCATTTCTGCAGAAAAAAGCTCTAAGATCGAGTTCATACACCAAACAATCACTTGTCAATATGACAATGGCACAATCGTACCGAACGTGTGCTTAAAAAAAAAAAGCCGAAGCTTCACAAATACGTTTCCCCCATTAATCAACTTCTTCTTGCGGGGCTACGTCGGGATAGCGTTCGGTGATTTCAAACGCAACAGGTTGTTATCAACACATAAGCAGACGACCAATGCCTCGTTAATTACCAAGGTAACCCACTGAAGGTCTTTTTCTCTTATTCAGTTCCCGTCAGCTAGCAGCTGCGTCATAGAGTAGAAACACCTTAAACGCCTCGAAATCGCACTCAGACTTCGCAAATACAGACATCTTGCCATACAGAGATAGCTGTGTGGCAAACAAACCACGGTACACGAGTATAACGTATTCAATCGACTCCTTTCTCGTATTTGCCTTAAATACTATGTAATGGATGTTTATCGAGGTCGACGTGCATCGCACGATAAACAAGTGAGCATTCAAATATTACGCACTATCTTTGTTTGGGGAGCTTACGCCTAAATGCGACCTGATATTGTCATGGCAACCGTTCCGCTTCCTCAATGATGACGAGGTTACCTGCGACAGCGAGCACAGGAAACGAATATTTAATGTACGTCCTAAGCTAGGCTGAGAATCTTCTCATCTTAGTTAAGAATCTTCTCTCATTTCAATGACTGAAACAAATCGCATGGAAATGAATGATAATGCAGCTTCGACACAATCAGAACTATAAACATCACTGATTTGTTGCTACCCAAACAAATCACCGAAGGTGCAATCCAGCCTACCAGAAATCAGATATTCTGCACGCTGAATCTCGTGTTGATCGGTATAACTCTCGACGATAATTCATGATCTCATAAAATCTCTTCTCAGTCTTCTATCTCAACCCAGTCATATCCAGTGGCTTTGAGTGTCCAACTTAGCTTTACTGTATCTGTATGGACGCCTTGTTGTTTTGTTGCCTTTACATAGAAAAAATAAGCCAACTTGATTAAACTTAACCATTTGTATTGTCTATCGGTGGATGCGTGCAGAAACGTTTGCTAGCATTGTTTATATTACAAATGCCTTATGCAAAGTTTAGCCGACAAAAACTAGGTAAGTAAGTGGTCCTCTAATGCCGCAGATTACCTGTAGCTAACATACGCGCATTTGAGGTTTACGCATATAGGTAAAACACCACAATTATAAAACCACCGATATCGAACCTGATATAATATTTTAGGCTAAATTTGCAATGGAGAAAAAAATCAACGGAAAAGCCATCTCATCACTGCGAATTTGAGATTTAAGACGAGCATTTTCAATTAAGCACTATCTTGTGTCCGATCGCTCGTCGGCATTGCAAAGCGCACTATCGAAAATAGACCACTCACTAATAAACACAAATGTTTTTTGAAGAGTGAAGATCTTCATTGTGACTGCAGCCAAATGTGTTTCATCCGAACTGTTCGAAAGAGGATATCGTCGATACCTCATAAACACTACAATCGAATCCTTTAGGACTGAGTGCAAGTCCAATGTAGTATTGAAAACGCACAAAAAGTGGGTGTGACTAGACGCTAGACGTATCCAAAGGCTGGCAGAGTCGATGGCGAGACATTAGATATTGCTTGACAATGAGCGAATGCCGCCGGCACACTCGCATACAATTGGTGGCGATCATGTTGGAGCCCCACGGCCAGATTATCGGGTTCAGAATAAGTACGTATGATGCACGTATGATTAACTGCTTTGTATTCGTTCACTCAACAGATTCATAGGCGTGCACATGGTGAACGACCATGGCCTACATGAATTAATGGCTCCGGAAGAATAAACGAATAATCCTATTGTGTCGTGAGCGTTGTCGTACGAATTTCGGATGCGAACGTTTTTACGTCGACGCAATTTGCATTAAGAAGGACAGCGACGTTAAACACAAAAACAGGAATAGCGCCAGTGTTCCTACGACGCACTTACAGCTAATTTTAAAGCAAAATTTATATTTAAACATTGTAAGTGTACAGGCCTCTACCTTCATTCTAAGCTTGTCCCATGTTTCTTACCGCATGCGTCTAGAAGTGACGCAAGATAATTCGAGCTCGTGCTCTAGTTTTCAAGTTATGTTTGTCCTCTGACTGACTTTGCTTTATCGTAAATGAATCTTTCAGTTCAGTGTTCGGTACTACGTACGGTACTGCATCTAGGTCACCTAAAATGCGCCTAACTTAAATAAGTAAATAGACCTGGACACCGCACCATCGCAAGAACGGCTTCACAACAACTGATCGGAGAATGTGAATCGGAGAAAGATTTTGCTCCTACAATCGCGGCCTTAATCGCAAGGTTTACTGCTCGAGCCCGTCCAAACGAACTTGCTACGCTCATATCAGACACAATATAGAAACAGTTTTTACTTATATCAGCGTAACCGAAAGTATTAGGTAGAACCTAAGTAATCTTCATCTATTTTTGGTGTTTCTTTTCCCTATAATTCCGTTACTATTTGTTTACTCTATATTATATCACCCGTAGCAACAATGATACACCAAATCACTTCTTTCATGTTAGTTTATTGCTTGCGAGGGGCTGATTCAAGTGACGACTGGCCTTGTCGGCAAAGAAAATTGACTAGGCCTAATAACTGGCTTACGCAACAGGGACGCAATAATAGGTATCCAGATTGACTTTACTGATGGGCGCCTGGCCGCCATCGCGACCCACGACGCGCTATAGAGTAACATATTTATGTTTGTATAAAATATGTTTTATTGGCAAAATCTGAGCGTGAAATGTCCCACTGATCCCGGCTTGGGGGTCTCTTTATACTCCACTACTCCGAAAGCCTCAAGATGCGCGCGCCTCTGCATGTATTTGTCTGGTCAATAACTAACACAACGCTTTCTAGTTCACCGTTGAAAAACACGCTCATCTAGAGTGACTGCTTTATCCATTCTCTTAAAATTTCACCTGCAATAAATTGTAAACTCATTATTAAAGTAGAAGTATTTAACTCCCTAAAATACAGATCAACAATTTAATTATCTCATTCAATATCTATTTGGAAGATAGATTAAGGTGGCATAATAAGGACCAATACTATGGACCTATACTTCACGATTAAAAATACAACTAACCTAATATTCTAATGATATAAATATACGGAAAAGTTGGCTTAAACAGCTCATTAATATAACTAATATTATTTTAATATTTTTAAGGTTTTTCAACTTCTTTTTAGAGCAAAAAAGTTCCAATTCCCTTTCATGAACCGCTCGTCTAACAGTATGATTCCGTAGCCAAGCGTTTTACTCACTTAAACAATGGATGGAACCCAGCCTCCTTGTAGCAATAGTAACAATATCTAAGCCATTAAAAAGGATACAGGTATTTTATTATTAAAAATTATCGCTTGTGTGGCTTACCGGATGCGCTGGCTCTTCTACTGCCGTCATACATTTGAGTAGTCTTCCAAGACAGAAATCATCTGAACGTTTTTATAATTTGATTTCTGATTTGTCCGGAAAAATCTGTTAATAGATAAATTGTCGATATTCTCTTCAACTAATCGAATGAATTAGTTAAATAGAATTATCCGGATTAATCTAGGCAAACACCCTATAGGGTCTGGCCGTTTTTAGAAAGCGCTTCGACGCAAAAGCAAAATACATTGTAATGAATAAAGTAGAAACGGGGCCAAAAAAATTGAAAGCAGCGATCCGGTAACACCTAGGAGATGACTGTGAAGTACATTTTCACAGCGTACCCTTATCGCTCAAGACGCTAAGAAGACAACCATATGAATGCTACTTGAGTTGACAAATACATATTGCCAAAATCGGATGACATATTCGCGAGAACAAATTATGGTTTTAGATATGCCTGTTACGTACCTTATGCCAATCGCTTTGGCGGTAAATATGACCAGCTAAGAACAAAATTGTGCTGTATCAGGGTAAGAGGATACGAGTGTCAACATGAATTTTATTGCCAAACGATCGTTCAATAACTAGCACAATATCAGCTTGAGGACCTTCTAATTGTGCCATGCAGAATGTTCGGCATAGTTCCTGGTTTTGTTGAACTTACTTATGGTGATTTTGTGCCTGCAGATATGGCATTTGTTCGCGGGAAACGTTTTGTCGAAAACGAAGATTTCCGCCTCTTGCTCACAGCATACAGTAACCGAGATTTCTAGAAGAAAAAAAAAAAAGCTCTTTTAACAACAGCTGCTATGGCCGCTAATAAAGCGGATCATTCTGATGACTTCATGCCATTGATTCATTCAGAATCCGTGGTGAAATGCTTAACCACAGCTGTAAGATCTCTATCGTACGATACATACGCGACGGGCTACACGCTATAAGATGGCGGACGGGCAGTATCAACTCAAGAAAGGAAGTAGTACACTGCGTCCATTATTATTGGAAAATCCTACCAATCCAATATTCGAGAAGAACCTCAGTTAAGTTACTACACAGTCTGATCGCGACCATTTATGTAGCTACACACCGGAGAATTGTAATTCGCGTTTTCTATAACAGACAGTAAAACATAGCAATAAGAATAGTAGGAATAAGAATACATAGAACCTAATTGTGAAACCCTGCGAAAGTACTCTATATTATGCTGATATTATAATGATGGCAATATGCGCATCATGTAACGACGTCCAATTGAACAGGACAGACGTTGCCGCTAAAACAGCGGCAGATCAGGGCAACGAAATGCTGTTCCATATGTACAGTGATTTATCCGCTCTATTTCTACATCGGGGGGTTGGCAAAAAGGAAATATTTTCTATATAAATAAGCATTTATTAAGATTCTATAGCATGACCCCAGGTTGCTCTAGGCATTTCCGAATTGCAACAAACTTACCATTATAGTTTTGTTTTTCAGTCAGCCGATAGTAGCAGATATGTCGGTCGTTAAGCTGACTGTGTGACGCCCTTCTTTCGCTTTTGAGATTTTTCGTTGCGTACAATTCCGATCATCATCATCACCACAGTCGAGAATGGTTAACAAATATAAGACCATTTTTGACAGAATTCAAAGTGTATGAATACACCAGGTAATTTTACCCATCACGAGTAGAAATCAGAGCGGTTATGTAAGCTAAAACGCAACCAAATGGACCCGTTGAAAACGAAAATCAATTATCCTAATGTCCTCCTCTATCCCGTGACACAATTTCTTTATTAACAACAATTCCCCATTCTTTGGCCCATATAATCCCAATAGGTGGGTTTCGCCCTATTTTACAATAAAAAAAAACACATCACTGACCGTTTTATATGCGGATTTCGAAAATCAAAATATACACAATCGGAGGCGTCCCCATATTTTACCATCAGTAATCTTCTTTCTCTAATAGCTGCGTGACAATACGGTGTTTGGCCGGATGCTAAACTGCACCGTATAGATTGGGCTTCGGTTACTGGCATCGTTGTGAGGAGTTTACAAGCGCCCACGGAAAGACTGGATATTAGCTAAACTGATGGCTTTTGTCACCACAACCGTGGACGAGAATATGCTATGGTGGCCTGAAACTGGCTAACAACTGCGCTGTTCTCAAACGATATCGAAGGACTAGAGAGGGACTTTGCAGACTTCATTCTAGCTTTTTTTTTTTTTTTTTTTTTTGAGGACAACGCCCGAAACTCCCTCAGGTGTCTCTAGGCTTGTTTGCTGGTTTTTATAAAAGATGGCGCTCGATCGTCGCGACAACGTCGTTAATTATATGCAAGTGAGTCGCTAAGAGCCGACGAACGATGGGGTAGGTTGCACACTGAGTAGTATCCTCGGGCGATGGACATATGGCAGCAAAACTGTTATCTATATTATAGGCTTTGTCCACATTATCGGTTGACGGTCTTTCATCTAGTTTTTCCAATAGAAGTAAAACTATTTTTAACCTTCCGGCGCCGATGAACATATTTGTGAATACCAAATTGATTTCGGCTATGAGCGATGCATTCTTATCTAATGATCTTTTCCTTAGCCAGCATTTTCGTATAATAATAATAATAATCGTAATAAAAAATCGTTGCGATCTGTTGTAGGCTAATGGATGAAATACTCCATATAAGCATTAACCTTTCCCTCACTATCTAAGCTTTCTAAAGGAATAAGAAAGGACTTCCCTAAAATTTGAGCAATATAGCTCCAGAACAGTGATAGAAATAGGACTTAATTGTTTTACCCCGTTATAGCTCGACGAACATTCGATAGAATGTGGTGGAAAAATCGTCTACCTGTCGCAGGTACCTCTCCAGTATTCATAATTTGGTCAAAAATAATCCACTAACCCCCAAACTGTACCCAAGTTTTGGCCCACGCCTAGTTTAAAAATCCTCTAGTTTAAATGATTTTTTGGCAAAAACGTCAAGCTCAAATTTTTCTTCTACATTTACCCTTTACATCCTTCTACATTACAAATATATGTAGGTTGTCTTTCTCTGCTGTTCCCAACAAACCAAAAAAATATCTCCGCAAAAAGCTTTTTGGAAAGCCTGAATTTTTTTGCACTATGCAATATATATAAAATACCGGAAAGTTCTTGTAGTATTTTGACAAGTAACCGCGAGAAACGAAAATATGAACTTCTACTCGGTGTCTACAAAGGAAGTCTTAATTTTAGACGAATAGGAAACATATCCATCCTTACAATTATTATCGAACGTTTCGGCCCAGGACCTCATTTTATGGCACGCTTATTATGTGCAACGTAGGAGTCAAACGCATGGCTCAACGGTACGGTGTCACGTTCTTTCTTCCGTTCCCATATTGGATTATGGGCTCAATACTTGATCAGTTTTTCCTCAAGGATATCAAGACGCACTCGCCGTCTATGCTACAACTTATTTGCCCGTTGCCAAAACTCCATTCTAGTACTGGCGCGTCGCTGGATGCCAGGGTTTTCCTATATACCCGCCGTTGTAGCAGGCCATGCTCATATTACAAACAAAATCGCATACGCTCTATGATCCGGCTCAATGGACCCTAATGCTTTCATTAGCTGTTATGTACCGCTTACGTATCACACATTTCGATAAACGTACTGCCAATTTATTGGTTACCAGTTTGCAATGCATTTTTATTCGGGCAACAATTAAAATTTGTTAGCAGTTATTTCCCATAGTGCCTTTTTATACGTTGACTGCGCGATATTGCGGTCGATGTAAATCGAAACGCACAACTATACCAACAAATTTTATCCTTATGAAAATATACCCAAATTGGGTCTTGATCGCGTTTGCCCTAATAGTCTCCGCAAGAACGTAATTCCGCATTAGGTATCCGTGCAATTCCTGTATCAATAAGATATATATCTCTCCGATGAATTAATAATAGAAAATTTTCGACTGAAATACCTTCAAGTCTCCTGCTTGGCCAAAACTTCATCTATCAAATACATATAGCATCCAGCCAAATCTATGTAACTTGACCGTACTTTTTCATTACAACTGTTATCCGAGGCGTAGCCTATGCGTCCGATACTTATAGGCCAGAGAGACACCGAAAGCTAAATTCTATTATGTCTGACCCAGCATTTGTTATTGTAAGGTAGTAAATCTTTTTCTTTGTAAACCTCGGCAAAAACGTTCACTTTAGAGAACTAAATTATATATTGGTTTTAATACGTAATCACCATGTAGTGGGGGCGGGCGATGAGCTTACACTTCGCAAAAAAAGCTTCCTCGCACCGAGGCAAAAGCTACTTCGCACATAACTTTGGGAAGACAAACATTCACTGTATAATGTTGTAATCTTACATCTTGTAATAGAAAAACATGTACAAAAAAAAGTTATATAAAACCTCACGATTACCATTATGACTCTTAAAACCTTCCAATTTTGTTTTGCGTTCTATTGTTTGAGCTGTGTTATACTAATCATACACATACAATATAACCATATTGCTCACTCGATTGCCACGAGCCAGTTGTAATCAATAAGCTAAATTACTCTATTTAAATCGATACTAGTTAAAATATGGGTTCTTATACTGGCTGGCAACGGGCGGCGACGATACCGGTCTTCATGCATCCATCAACCACCTCCCGATTTATAGAGGTCGTCTGTATTATGCGTTTTCGTTATTGTTGTAATTTTTTTGCTGTCAAATACAAAGAGGCGGAACTGTCAAAGTTGCGCCGAATGAGCTACGTCAATTGGGCCTCCCTGTTGCCGCCGGTGAAGGACCAACTTATCGGCCGCTATGGAGTGTGAATTGTATGATGCATGCTGTGGACAACCGTGGTCGCAACGTCGATTCCTGAATAAATGAATGAATACCAAACGATTAAAACATGGCTCACAAATTTTGACGATTGGGCATTATACAGTTGCTCTAATGCGTGAATAGTAATAGTCCTTTAGCTGGCCAACTAAACGCGCCTCGATAAGAAGCCAAATCAGTCAATGACGGAGAGACAGCTCACTTAGTCATGTTTTTCAGATTTTTACCTAGAAATTTTGCAGAAATTAGGTTGACATAATAATAAATAAGACATACTGTGGTAAACGAAAACGAAAAAAAAAAATAATTGCAGATAACATCAAAAGCAACCGTTCTTCATTTGTATACAAAAGAGTAACAGCCTTGGACTATTGTAGTTTTGAATTAACGTGATATATCGGTAGTATCCGTTACGTAGTTGATCTATACCTTCATGTATGATCCTAAACTAGGGAGGGATTGGGCCTTTGATACGCTGGCTTCGCGAATCGTAGTCACGTGTTATTCAAATAGCCCGTAGCAAGCGAGTATGCCGCAAATGCGAGAAATACGAAGCCCCCCGCGATCGTGAGGGCGGCAACTGGAATGAATTTGTCCAAGACTTGTCCAGCTAACGCTGCAATAAGCGTGCATACAGCATGCGCCAATAAGGCACCGACGAAAACGCCGTATGTGAGCTTTGTAGCAGAAAGCCCAATGGTCGCTATTTGAGATCGGTCACCTGCTCGTGCAGGATCGGAGCGAGAAAGAAAATGTTAGTGCACTAGGACTTGATATACCTCCCAGTTGCAGTGAGGTCCGAAAAGGCCAATACGAGCACAAAGGATACTACGATACAGCACAACCCTATTTCATTCAGTATTGACATTTTGCGTAACACGTTTGGGAAGGAAAAGAGTTGTCAATTCAAAATGTTGAGGGAGGGCAAATGTAGTCCGTTTTCCATGGATTGGCAACACTGAATTGGACGAGAATGCATCACTATCATGGACGGTTCCCGCAGCTCTATCCCTTGAGCTGACAGATTTACTATTGGCTTAATTGACTAGTTATAGTTATTAGTCTTTCTGTATGATGCACCTAAAATATACGCCACTGGATGACATAAGTATCAGTACATACGTAACTAACTTTGATGCAGGTTCTGCATCGATCACATCGCTACTTCCTACTACTACTACCTCTAGAAAATGCTCCAATTTGTGTTCTTGAGGAAACTTTATATACCGGTAGCCTCGTCAAATTTCTACACAGTTCAGTACAAATACTACAGTTCTGACACAGCAAAGCTTATGTTATTTGTTATATATTTGGTATATTATCTATAAATGGCAGAACTGTTGATGCTATAACAGTGGTCCCGACAAGCTGTGAATCCAGATCAATAGGCTACTGACGTTTGCCCAAAATGTGACAATGTCTCCCCCTCGTACAACCCCTGAGCTTCTGCACTTAGAAATCTGTTCACAAGATGAACTGCTGAATCACGCACTCCTCAATACGTTACATCACCTACTTCGTTTCTTTTAACAAGATACAGATAATACAGCATTGTTTTATTAGTTACCTCGTGTGCAAGTGCATATTTTCATTTATGGTATCGAGAGGCTTCAGTATGGGTAACTCGGAATTCCTATATATTATTACCGGTTTCAAGGGAATATTCTTTATTTCCGTGACTTACCCCATTCTGCAAATAGGACTAAGATGAAAGTTTTCGCAAACGGAGATTTATACCACGGAGGCGAACCTGTGTCCTGAAACGATTAGATTCCCGGTAAGTGTGCTTATCAGAGTACAAGCAAGATTAATAATTAAAGTGCTTTACCATACACTTCGAAGGGAAATACAAATGTCGAATGTTTTGTATGATATATTTTATTGTTCAAAGGTTTCCTCCCACACATTGAACATAAAGATCCAATTATCACGAACTTAAACTGCGTTTTCAACAACAAAAAAAAGCAAGCATATTTCGAAAGTGGTGACAACTTAAGGACAGCACCTGGACTAGCGCAGAATTACGTATGGCCTGAGTAGCTGTTGACTTGTGTAATAGAAAATGAGCATAAAGACGACAAGCTAAGCTAAGCTAAGAAACCGGAACTCACAAAACTTGCTGGTCCGCACGTACATTATCATGCCACCTAAAGCTAGGTAAGGCAAAAGCCTCTGGACAGTAACAGATGTAAATCTGTGAGAGATATGCAAATTATTGCAATAGAGAGCGTATTTAATTGTACAACACAAAACAGATAAGCACCATTTCTTATTTCCATATTACATATATTGCATTTGCCACACCGTCAATATATGTCTCGACCGTAATAGCTACAACCATGACTTGTTGTCATTTGACTAGTATCAGAATCCCCTATACTATGCCTAGTCGATTGTGTTCCAATACTATTACAAACGTGCACAGCTAAATCCGCTCTTTATTTCAATCATTTGCCTATCTCCGGCTACTTTATCCCAAACGTGACGTAAAAACGTCCCAACAATTAAGAGACTTTCCAACCATCCAGTGATCGAAAACTTCGCTTAAGAAGAAGCTACAGTGAAGACCACACGTCTAAACAACACAAAAGAGCTCACCAATGCAAATGGTTCCCACATAGATAAATTGGCAGTCTCTCGCTCGAGATCTTATCTGTACATATAGCTTATGTATGAATAGTAGGTTATCGGAAAATAGATCTGTCATAGCTCTAAACTTCAACGCACCAGAGAGTGTTGAGTAGGTGGTGCGCATAACAAGTTCGCATTTCTACTATCTTTTAAGCTGAGATCTGCGAATCTCAGCACTAGTTACTGGACTTTTTGCGCCTAAAAATGTTCTTCGTGAATTTCGTAAACAGCCTCAAAAGCTCTGTCGTCAATATAAAATCAGCTCTCTCCTCCCACTCCCTCATGTGTGAAGCTGCTAATTTTACTTCGCCTATCAACAGTTGGAATTTTTCGTCCGGTACCGCCATCCAGCATTGCTTCAGGCGATTGGCACCTTATACAAATTAAAGCCAGCACTCCGAAGTAACAGGGAGTGATACTTTGGGTAGCCACAATAGAAAAGCGCAGGTCATATTAGTCATTCACAATGGCATATTCTTACAGCTCATAACTCTGAAGGAAATGCTGCATGCAGGTAACAAACGTTCCTCCTTGATTGCATATTCTTGGAACTAGCTCGAAGTAAAACAACTTTCAGAGTAGTTGCATAATAGGTAGTCAGAATAAGTAGTAGGCATGATAACTTCACAAAATGAGCCGATAGCAGGAGAAAGTAATTAGGATACGAAAAGAAATGTCCTGGTTAGAAGTGTCCGGTCAATCGACACTAATCACTGCTATTTATTTACTATTGCGCCAAGCTAGGGAATACTGACCTGTTTCATATCGCCCTCTTCTGATTCAGAGTCGTTTCCTCTGCATTTCATCACTCCCTCATAGAGCATGTGTAGACCGAATAAAATAAACAGGCAAATCGACGAATAGTGTACAATGTAAGTGGGAACAAATTGTATTGCATACCCAAGTCCTGTAGCGGTTAGTGTCATAAGAGCCAATGCTGCCATAGCTCCCCAGTAAATGACACATCGAGAGTGACGTGCTGCGAGGATTGCCGTAATGAAGAACGTTTTGTCGCCCAACTCGGATAAAACAGTCATCACTAGTGATGAACCAAAAGCGTCAGCGAACGCGGAAACTTTCGAAATTCGGTGCGTTTGGTTTCCCAAGGCGCGCATCGAATGTATGGCAGACAACTTTTTTTTAATAGAAGGCCATACTTTGTTGGCACTTCCATTGGTTGTTCTGTATTGTTGTGTGATCTTAGTGCCATTCTCAGAAGTACTGTCGGTTGATATCACCAACGACTGGCAAGAAAACGAAAAGGCCATCACTAGAACAGGCAAAGTCACGTACTTCGTGCGAATGATCATAGTTTTCTGTTGGCCGGCCACAAGTCATCTTAAAGAGTTCCACCCCTTATTTTATCGTTATTGAGTAGGTCCTTTCTCCTGTTAGCCATTGGGGTTACGTTATATTTTGCTAATAGGTAGAGTTCAGTCTTTAAGACAGGAACGTTCTTCGTGTCGATTTCTCATACCTTACACATGTCGTTTTGTGCACAGTTACTCACGAACTAGAAACGTCAATTGGCTAGTTAACCCAAAAGCAAAAGTTTTATACAAAAGTAATTCATGAACACAGTCATCGCATTATTTACAGAATTTTAATGGGAAGCGTGTCACCTCTACCAGTAAGACGGCACTGGCGAGAAGAGTAACACAAATTTACGAATCGTTCTAGGGTGCTATAATGTGCCCGAATACATTATAGAACTAACCACTACTATATTCCACGAGGCACTTTTTTTTTGTACTGACTACGGCGCTTTGCACGTGTGAGATTATGACGCATGATTCAGCTGTAGAACCGCTTCGAAGTAACGTTCTAAACTCGGCGTAAGGTGACCTATCCTAACTACGTGCTCTCAAAGGACTTTATCGAAAACCTATTGATTTTTTAAAAATCAATTTCTATATCCTACATCAAAAAATACACATATCAAAAAAGATCTCTATATCCTAAGTAGGTACGTAACTTCTAGAATATGTTGTACTGCTAGATAGATCGTACCTGAACTCGATATTTACATTTTGTAGAATTTCCCCGCATGGTGTCTACGACGGCAGTTTTACTTGAACATGGCTCCTTGGATCACGTTTGACAAACATAAATTCTATTACACCCTTGCTTCGTTTGCGTAAACTGGCCTCAAGATACTTAGCTTTCAAGCTCGTAACGGATCCTAATTTGTGGGGTGTTAGCGGTGATAATTTTTAGCAAAGAGATTGTTGTGGTAAGTACAGGCACACGGTAGATCACTTGCTTTTTCCTGTTGTTTGCACGTAATCCAAAGCGATTGGAGAACAATTCTTTATACAATAACTTGTTGAAGGAAAATACACATGTTCAGGGAATAGTAGTCGTGGCAGCTGAAGCTCTCTTGGTCTACCACTAATAGAAAAATAAATACTCGACAGACATGAAAAGGCGGTATTCCCTAGAGGAATTAGAATGTCTAGATTCGTTTTGACAGCCTTTAGGAGCAGTGCTTCGCCCCGCGTTTTTACAAAGGCTTACTCTGTTTCTCTTCGTTATTTTAACTACACAGCCCCCTACTTACGCTTTTTCAAGTGAACTTAAATCACGTGTAAATAGTTTGCTGAGTTAATCGGTCTATAACTAATTACCAGCCCTTTCGTGTGGATGATAATAACTTTCGAATGATCACTGTGACATGTGGAAAACTACAGATATCATATTAGCCTGCCGACATAGAAATTTCATCCCATATCTAAGCATAAAAACAGTTGCCTTTGCGAACTTCTCTCAGGCTCTTTGTCATTTTTAGTCTTTTAGATTTTTCGAACCTCTGGCCTATATTATATTAGATTGGGCGCAGTCACTAGAGTAATCATTAGAAGGTCGGCGAGTATAAAAATCATTTCTTGAAAGCAATTTATGCCTCGAAATGAACGGAGTTTACATTCAATAAATATGTCATAAGTTAATCCAGCTTTCCCCTGCGTACGTACGAAATATGTCATCAAAATATCTGTTGTATTCAGATACAGCTTATAGATTACCGATATTAATATCCTTTCATTTTGTCTCGAACCTTGTACTTTCTATTAAGATTAAGTTCAAGCTAAGTGAACTTTGTTCGTTCAGCTAAGTGTTATTTAAATTTCAGCTGGTGGTTTGCTATTTTTTTAATAATTATAAAGCTGAACATTTTAAATACAAGTGGAAAAAGTAGTAGTAGTGTGAAATGCTATAATAATCAGTGCATTCCATTTGTTGGAACTTATTCTATCACATTAAAATGAAAGAGCTGTACCATGAGTATTACCAAATTCTGAATGACTACTATTCTTGAGACAAGAAAACTCAATTGAAAAGAGGGTCATCTAATTTGAAAATTGCATTGATTGCCAAGTACGGGATCTTAGTTCTTCGGATCAAACTAAAGGAGCTGATCGTAGAGGAGAAAGTAAAAAAGGATTTACTGAGTTCGTACACAGTGAAGCCGGCACTTACGACTAGTACTAGGCCTGCGCGCAACAACTTGAAACCTTCTAACAAACCTGTTAACCATCACTTTGGCGTTCATTAAGAATATTGGAGAAGTATCCAGTCTTCGAGAGATTCAAACATGTAGAACATTTACGCAAAAACAAAGGTCAAAATGGGCCGAAATAAATCTTTCGTACGCATCAGCTTCAGCTTGGACTAACGGCAGGTGGACAAAAGTGGACAAAGGTTATCGGCATAATATAACACAATGCCCGGTGCATGGTTTTAACGCCGTATTCGCGAAACGCAAGAAAACCTCAAACCCAGAAGAAATGGTATTTGCTCTGACTTTGTAAAGCAAGCTGTTCTAGATCTCATTCCAGCCAGTGTAGCTTAATGAAGTCGGCTAACCAGCTTACAAACACTAGAACCTAGGCAGTTAAATGTACTCATACATGCCCACAATATCATATCTTATAATATCTATCTATAATATCTATCAGTATAATGTAAGCTTGTAGTGCGTGTATTCACAGAAGCCGTGTGGCCGTTATACTCATATCCAAAGGCTTTAATTATTTTATATTAGTTTGAAAAGGCTAGGATTGGATATGCTGTCAAAAAGGACAGTAGTTTCCTCTCAGTTAAAAAAGCACTTACACATATACAGGAAGGGGCCTAAACTAATATACGTCCCATTGCACACATAAGAAATAAATCGTTTCTATACAAATGACATCCGAAATTCGCTTTAATAAATATAAGCTGAAGTAAACATATGCTAAAATATGATAGAGAGCATCTATTTAACGAACACCTTCGTTTTTTAGGTGTTTTTCCTATATAGAGCTGCTACACTACAGACAGTGTGGAACTCTCACTGTGGACAAGCTTCTCGTTATAGCAAAGAAGAAGCATCGTGTACCCCTGATCCCTGTTAGGATATTGCCCGTTTGAAGCTTGCAATACCTATATTCGTTGGCAGTATACACCTGGAGTGCCGCGCATAAAAAGAAGATTGTTTATCCCAAAAAGCGGTGTCTTTTTGTTGAATCTAAAAATTTAGAATGGTTAGTCAGTAAGCTCTCACGATGGCCTTCTTCGATTGGTGTGAACGCCGTAAAAATTTTGAAACATATTTCGGTCAAAAGTGGTTTTTGTCATTAAAAAAAATTATAAATTGATTCACAATGAATCTTAATGAAGGCTGAAATTAATAAATAGTCTTGGTTTTCAATCGAAAAGCTACTGAACCTCCTTAGAGAACATCGCATGCACTGTCTTTTTGCCTGCGTTAGCGCTAAAGCATATGAAACACTACCCGGCGCCTAGGCTTATAAGGCTAACAGAGTAAATGGCCAGCCTCATTTTCTTTTCTAAGAAAAACCAAGCATCAATTAATGGAAATAAGCTTACCTGCATACAAAGGACACGTACACGGATGAGCGATTTACACGTCGTCTGCAAAATCTGGCCTTTATCCTTAATTAGCAGTTTGTTAAAGACTCAAGGAAGCAAACTGTTTTGATTTTCCATAGCCTACTAATCAAGACAATCTGAGTTCCCATATATATATATATATATATATATATATATATATATATATATGTCAATATGAACGCTAGATGTCTCAAAAAGGGTGAAAAACAAAATGAGATTTGAAAGACAAAAAATCATCAGGCGTGTGGTGTTCTACATTAATCGGGTGCTAATGTCATGAGAACTAAATAATAACGGCCTACAAACATGACAAGGGTTACGACATAATATACCAACTGCCAGCCGTATTTTTAATGCTTACCTTTTTCTCCAACATTTTTTAAACCGTCATGACGAGATTGGTTTGCTTTACCTACCACTATGGTATTACTGTAATATCCCAATTTAATAATAGGTTGGTTGCTACATACGTGATAAATAATTACTGTCTTCACAATAGCATGTAGAGTCGAATTTACAGTAATTGGCAACCTAATGATATTTACTACAACGGTTCTTTACTGGCACAAAGCTTGTCGTCGCCCTCAACGCATGTGCTTAATTATTGATAAAGGCTGCCAGAAGATATCTTTGTCTGTCGCTCCTTCGTTATAGTTTGATGCAAAATATACGTCTTCGCGGCAAACTCTGATGCATAAAAGCACAACTTGATCATTTACTAAGCGTTTAGTGTGGATGAAATAATGAAAAATAGGCAGAGCCTGGTAGCTGAAGGATACCAACTCGGACTTTCGTCCTGAAAGATCCGATGCAACCACTTCTATGCAACTGTTTTCGGAATGCGACATTGCAAGACCGCTTTCTCGACGGATATGATATCGACGATGTGTGCTGTACGTTTTTGTGATAAAATACCGACTAGCGGAGAAACCGTAGATGGTAAACCGTAGACAATGGTAAGTATGCAAAATCATCACCTAAATAAGTGTAATATACAGATAAGTTCTGACCAAATAAGTTATCATGCCAAATAAGTAAAAATGCTTCTACGAAAGTTTTTTTCAACCATTTTTAAGAGATATCTAGTATGTCATCGTTTCTTCAATCAATCCTACTTCTCCCTGAAATATATTCCAACTATCTATCTAATTATGGCGTTGCATTTATCTGATATCTCACTGTTGAAAAATTAATTAAGAACCTTCGATAGGTTGTTTCGGAGATTTAGCAGTAATCATATTGAATTTCCTTGTCGAACATTAATCCGTTTGTTATTTGAGTGTGTATTTTATTACCCTACTACCACAATATTGTGTATAACAAAATATCTGCCGCAGTTACTTTGCCAATACTAATTTGCTATTCGTCTAAAATTAACGCAGGGATACCGTATGTATATTTAGAATACGACATATGTCGAAATCATTTCTTTTCACTAAAAAACTTCCCAGCAAGATTGGGAAGTAATACTGACTACGTATATGAGACGTATCTGCGTAGTTATTGGACAGGTATTGGAATCAGCCAGTATCGCAGGTAAAAAAAAACTCAATATGCTTAAATTATGTTGCACAGTTAGGTACCGCCTGAATTATACTGTAGGTTCTATTAATGCTAATAATGAAAGCATTTTACTTCTTCGAACAGGATTAAAAAGCGCTAGCACGTACTCTTGTTTATTTCGTAAATTGTCACGATACAATCTTTTAGAGTAGCTCCTCTCTGACCTTTCGCAAACCAAATAAATTTTACTCTTGTATTTTAAATATCCCGCTCTAATTTCTCTATAAATAAATACCTTCCCCTAATAAAGAGCTCTCACCTGCCTATTTGTATATCTCACCTTGCTAGTAGTCGCACAACTCTAACATACTGAGTACATACTATTGATTCAGTTATCCGCGCTGCCTACTTGTCTTCTTGTGGGATTCAGATCGCAGGTATTAGTCCATTGTCAGCCTAGGAGAGACTTTCAGAGGTCACTTTCATTCTATTCGGAGCAGGCTCAATAGCTTTGACCCCTCTCAATCAATTGGCGACGTTTTTAACTCCAAAATCAGCCCTACGCGGAAATTTGTTTGCGCAACCTCCTCCCCATCTAGTTCTTAAGCGGATCGTTTTGCAACTGACGTCGATTGAACCTGCGATAGGAGGCCGCGGGACTCGGTGCCCCTATTTTGTTCATGCTGAGCGTCCTTGGCTTTTATACGCAGTCACTACTAAACACACTATTCATTGAAGCCCTGGTGCGTTTCGTAGGGGCTAAATTATATTTCTACATGTTTTCTGAGTGTCGCATTATTGACCGATATCGCTCGATACTCTCCACAATTCGGTGCAAACTCTAACGAGGAGGTAAAGCTATGCAGAATAACACATTGTTAATCTCTACAATAAACTCGCATCTAGAGAAGGCACCAAAACTATGGTTTTGTAAAAAGGTGGTACCGCAAAATCGAAGAGCTTTTAATAATTTTACACTATACGATTTATTATATGTATGATATAGGATATTGCATCTCAGCTTATCACTCCTATGTGCCTCAATACATATGTATATAATATTATATGAATTAACGCGATCATTTGTTGCCAGCCAACCAGGTAGCGCGTTTTGTGCATTGCGCTGGTTTCTGGGTCTCTATGCTAACAAGCTAAGATGGACGCTCTTAGACTATGCAGGAGTTGGTGACAGAACCAGAGAACATTCATGAGATGGTTGCCGCACACTCTCTTAGTTTCTCCTTCCTCTAAATATTGTATTGCAGTATGCTTTG